AATAGGACAGACAGCAGAATACATCAGACACGAGAAAGGCAATATGTCAATCAATGGAATGGTAACTGATGTGATACAGCAATCTTTATACGGGGTAAAATTGGGAGTTCATAACTCACCTGAATCAAACTGTGAAATATGATGTATTAAGAACTATGTAATGTTTTGAATGACCAACAATAAATAATAAAAAAAAAATAGTAAAACTGAAAAAAAAAAGAAAATGATTTCTAACGTGCGTACTATCCTAGCTTGTTTTCCAAGTCCAATAGTACGCTCATTAATTTTTCAAATTGCTATAATTTCAGTCAGTACCACTTATTCAGGAAAGATTTTCTTATATTTGTGCTTCAAATATATCTGTAAAAGAACTCCTGGGAGCATTCTAGAAATTCTTGTATGGCTAGAAGTCTCTTATGCAGACCTTCTTCTTTTGTGTGGTTTTATGGGATGAGAAATAACAAGCTGAGCCATGCAAAGCCATCCTATTGTAGTAATTAATGGGAAAAATGACAATTGTTCCATAATCTTTAAAATTTTCTGTTAAAACACTAAAAAACTCTCCTAATGTTATGTATGTTTAGGAAAATAAAAAATCATAAAAATTCTTATTTTGCACACTGTAATTTAAAATATTAGAAACATTGAGGATTCATGTATTTTATTTCTTTGTAAAAATTTTATCAAGAGTAGTTGGACCATGCTTGCTATCTTCCTGTCATCTGGCTTAGATTACAGTGTGATGGTGCCACTTAGTGAGACAAGCAGATTTGGGAGGGAATATGACACACTATTTGGAATGTGTAAAAAGTTACCTAGCAAAATGTCAAAGTAAATGTTTTGTAAAAGTTGAATACATGGGTCTGGAACTTGATGCAGGGTATGGCTGGAGATACAGATTATAGAATCATTAATACATAGATGTCAATGGAAGCTATCAGAAAGATGAGGTATCCTTATGGATAATGGGAAGGACAGAAAATCTAAAATTGAATCCCAGAATTTAAAAGTGCTGAACACCAGTATTTAAAAGACTGAAAAGAGCAGCCAAAAAAAAATAGGTGTCACAGAAGCTAAGGGTTGTAATGGTAAATTAGTGGAAAGGGTCATCTTTGATTTGAAATGCTATTTGAAGGGGATTGGGAATGTTGATTAGGAAATGGAGAAGGTCAGGTGTAGACAGCCCTTTCAGAAAATTCATGAAGAGGCAAAAAAGAGAGACATGGTAGTCAATGGGAAGGGGAGCTGAACTTAAAAGGATTCTATTTAAAAAATAATAATTTTTTAATTACTCTAAAACACTAATTACTCTAAAACACTAATGAGGGGAACATACTGAAATGAGTAGGCCAGGGTCTCAAAGGAGTTTTGAGGGATGACCTTGAATTGGAAGGTCAGTGCTTCTTAACATGTTAACAAGAAGGAATGAGGCCAACTTAATGGGAGTGTAAGTAGAATCCCATGTTTCCTGAAAGAAGTCATCACACAATGACTTCTATCTGCTTAAGGAGGTAGGAGGTGAAATCTTCTGCTGAGATTGTTGGACGAAAATGATTATAGACACTTGGCATCTTGTCTGACTTCCATGAGAAGCAACTCCTTTGTCTCCACCCAGGCTGAACCAAACTTCCATGGTCTTTGGAGAGTGAATTTTTTTCACTTAATAGTTACATGGTTTTGAGTTACTCAGCAGTGATTAAGTAGGTATATTTTCAGTTTTTATAATAAATATTAATTTGTTTGAAAGGGTTATTAAAAATAATAGTGGATTTTGAGTTATGACAAACTAATGCAAAGTGTTTGTTGTAACTTTGCCCTTTAAGTAGATTGTTCTGTTTGAATTTTTATCAGAGATTTTTAAAAAGATCCATGGATACACACACACACACACACAYACACACAYAYAYAYACACACACAYAYATATATATATATAACTTAGAAAACATTTCAAATATGTTTCAAAATTACATTATTCTCTTAAGTACATTTGCTATGACATTTGATTATTTATGCCCACTTTTCTTCTAATAAGTGTGATTTTGTTTTCAAGCCTGTTCAGTGGGTGGTGTTCCTGGTTCCAAGAAGTGGTTCTTTGCAGTGCAGGCAATCTGTGGATTTTACCAGGTAATTCTTATTAGTCAATGTATTTGTTACCATAAAGAATTTCATGAATCTATTATCTAATGTGATCTTTTATTAGTTTTGTAGTTCTGATTGGCAAGAGATACATTTTGATGCAGAAAAAGATAAGATTGAAGCTGTTCTTCAAACAAATATTGAAGAATGCTTGAGTGCTGTTGAGTGTTTTGAAGAAGAAGATAGTAATAGCAGGGAATCCTTATCCTTGGCTGAGTATGCTTTATATGCTTTTTATACTATCTCTAAGATATTTTATGGACGGTTATAAAGATGTAGACAGTTATTTTAAGCCAGGAGGGTGAAGATTACATATTTTAGCAACTATACTAAGTAAATTTTAATTATCTGAAAATTTTAAATCTTCAGTGTGAAAGACATTGGGCATTAGATCTTTTATCTCAAAAAAAATTCTTCAAAATACAAAAGTTAATATCTGAAAATGTTTTGTTTTTTAACCTTACATAAWTATGAGAATTATAGAAAGTGATTAATTAACATATCACTTTCTTGAAGATAAGTTCTGCGYAATATTATATTTTAAGAGCTTGACTAGGAATGTCATTTAATGTTAATAGTTATCATTATAACCAAAGTATCATTTTCATTTTGTTCTTTGAGGCTGAAATACATGATTTTTAAAAATTTATTTGTAACTTCAATGTTTAAAATACTTTTAAAGTCCATACAATTTTTGATAAGTATGTATGTGATTGAGTGTTTTTTAATTGTGGTGGTTTTTTAATTATGGTTTTTAAAATTATGGTTCAGTATATAAGATTTTCCAGATTACAAGTTGTGATAATTTTTTCTTCATACAGTGTCCCATCTCTGATTCATAGTGCCTTTTWTTTATTCTTAATAATAGTTCATGACAGAAACATTTTTAGTGTTCATATATTGTAGTATGGCTATAAGTTGCACAAATTATAAAAATTCCCTTTGTCTATCTCCAGATGATATTGTTTATATTGGTTATTGAGGGAAGACAGTGTAGAACCTTGGAAAGARCATTAAGTCAAGAGTCAGTAAAGTGGTTGCTAGCTACCTGACCTTAGGGCAGGCACACTGGCCCTTATTTCCTCCTCCATTGATTGTTGAGGTCCTTTTAGATAATTTCTAAGGTGCATTCATTTKCCCTTAAAAGCTCTTATCAATTCATGTTTTCTCACAACTGTTAAGAGATGACAAGTGTCATRGTTAGTGTTTCTGGTAAATGACCTAATAACTATTTCCACAAGAGGGAGCCTGAAAACTTTTTAGTTTAACATAATATGCCTTAAATTGTTGTTGGCTTTTTTTTTTCACAATATCAGTTTATWATAAAGGATTTAAATACCTTCATACTATGTGATAAACTATTATCAGGGGAAAAAATCATCATATGGAGAAAACTGATAGGTGGTGATTACTTTAAAAAGTCAGAAAAATATTTGTCCATTAGTTATCATCTATATTTAGTATAAAAATATAATTCAAAGGGCTGTTGTTCCCTTCATTATTGTTAATTTTATTTGTATTTTGGGGTGTGGGTCAGAACTTATACCCGCAGTTTGAATCCTAGCTTCTATACATACTAGTTAGGTACCTTTAGGAAAGTTACTTAAAGTGGCACTGAAACTAGTACTATAGTAGTGCCACATGAATCTGTTGTCAGGGTCAAATAAAGTAGTGCATTTACCTTAACACTTAACAGTGTCTGGCACAGAGATCATTATTACCTATTAAGATAATATAAAATAGATACGTATGTATGTGTGGATTTTTTTTTCCCTCTAACTTGTTCTTTCATTTTAGTCTATATGAAGAATGTGCTGAAAATTTGCATCAGTTATCAGACAAGCTTCCTGCACCTGGTAATATTTATTAACTGCTTTCAATACTTGGTATCTTACACTTTTTTTTGTGATTGAGTAATATATTTAGTCTTTCTGCTAATGTCTTTCTCACTTTTAATCTTGAAAATCAAAATGAAAAAAATAATTTCTTAATTGAAGTTGATACAAAATGTACTCCACTATTTTAATACAGTAATGAGACATTGAAATTCTTTTTATTATTTTCATTTAGGTAAGCAAAAAATTAGAATTTAGAAAATTAAATACCCATTCTGTTTCCTTATTTAGTTTTTACTGAAGAACAATCTTGCCACTGTTCACCATTGTTTTTCAGAGTGTGTTCTATAGAATACTAAGCCTTTAAAAAAAAACTCTTGGAAAAATAGCTTCTTTAACCTAGATATTTTGGATAACATTTTTTTTATGGTGAAGTTAGTATACATACTATCAAATGGAATATTGTGCAGTAAAAGAATCTCTTTGCTCAGCATTTTTTGTAGAAGCTATTTTTCTCCTATAGTGGAAAACATATTTTGTGAAGTACTGTATTGCATTATTTTTAAAACTGTTTTTAGTCCTGAACCAACCTTTCTTTGTGTTCATCAAGTGGCTGTCATCTAAAATTTGGTAGAATTTGGCATCATATACTTTTGAAGGCTTTCTTTTCTGAATRWGTCATTTTTGAAGGTCTTTTACTAGGCAGATATTTATGAGGTGTGTATTATATATCAAGCATTGTTCTAGGGGCTGAGTATATAACAAGGAGTAAAACATAGATAGTGACCA